GTCGGCAGCCGGGGCCCCGAGGGACGGTGCAGCCACGTACTCCTCCCAGGCTCTGCGAGGTAAATGACACTCGGCTCCCGAGTCGTGGTGACGGAAAGCCAAGCGTGGGGCCATTGAAAAGGGCGGTGGCGACAGCTTGGGAAGGACGATCTGAAGCTCCTCCTTCAGGGGTACCCTCAGGGGCTGCCCCTAGCTCCTTGCCGTAGGCGCCCGCAGGTCTTCAGGAGGCGGGCCGCTGCAGCCTTCCGACTCCCAGCGCAGGGAGCCGCCCTCACTGTCCTTCTCCACTTGACTTTTCTGGATTCCAAAGAGCATTTGTCAAACTTACAAAAAGATGATGACTGATGGTCTTTACAAGGGTGTGGACCCTGAAGGCTGACCCCATGCAACCCAGGACGGGTGTAGCACGGCTAGCAGACGTATTAGGTAGAAATAGCACTGAACCCCAAAGTAAGCTAACAACATACCACAGCCGATTTTGTTTCTTTTCTTTTTTTTTAATAAAAATTTTTTATTTTTTTTTTTCTAAGATGGGGTTTCACCATGATGGCCAGGATGGTCTTGAACTCCTGACCTCAGGTGTTCCGCCCACCTTGGCCTCCCAAAGTGCTAGGATTACAGGCGTGAGCCACCACACCCGGCCACGGTCTCAACACTGGGTCTCACTCTGCCCCCCGGGCTAGAGTGCAGTGGCTGGATCTTGTCTCACTGCAACCTCCGCCTCCCTCCTGCCTCGGCCTCCCGAGAAGCTGGGATCACACACGCCTGACACTGCACCCAGCTAATTTTTGTAGTTTGTGGTAGAGACAGGGCTTCACCGTCTTGGCCAGGCTGGTCTTGAACTCCTAATCTCGTGATCCACCTGCCTCAGCTTCCCAAAGTGCTGGGATTACAGGTGTGAGCCACTGCACCCGGCACCACGTGGTCAAGACGTTGACTAAAATGTGATATTTGAAAATGTACACAGGGCCGGGCACGGTGGCTCACGCCTGTAATCCCAGCACTTTGGGAGGACAAGGCAGGCGGATCACGAGGTCGGGAATTCAAGACTAGCCTGACCAACATGGTGAAACCCCATCTTATGAAAAAAAAAATTTAAGGTGAAACATAAAAAATAATTTTTAAAAAATCTGAGGTTCCTACATGACCAATGAAGGGAAAAAAGTTCTGTTTCTGAAGAATTGCTCTTACATACCTGCCGTTAGACTGCAGACCTGTACATTGTTTTCAAGTTCTTTTTTTTTCTTTTTTCTTTTTTTTTTTTATTAAGACAGGGTTTCACCATGTTGGTCAGGCTGGTCTTGAACTCCCAACCTCAGGTGATCCGCCCGCCTTGGCCTCCAAAGTGCTTGGACTACAGGCGTGAGCCACCGCGCCCGGCCCATTTTCAGGTTCTTATCACCTACCTGCACACGACACTAAATCCCGACATTCTTCTAGGCTCCTCTCATCTAACTTTCCCCCGTGGGATTACTAAAAATGGAAACTTCTCTGTTCCTGAAGCCCTATCAGCTAAAATTGGAACCTTGCGTCTGATGTGTGGGCCACACAAAAAGTTCACTGTACCCCCAGTGCCATCATCAGAGACATTCGAACTGCGAGCCAGGATGCCCAGCGGGCGTTTCACGCTGTAGACAGTTTTCCCCAGATGTCAGAGCAGGACTCCTGTCAGCACCACGCTCGTGCCCGCCTCTTCCACAGGGCAGGACAGTGGTGTCACTGAACCCTCACAACCTGCGGCTGCTGCTGCCGCCAGCACCACGGGACCTGACCCGGGAGATCCCTGAGTCCTGCTGGGTAGACAAGGAGATGGCTGTGCTGTGCCAACACACCTGCTGCACCTGGAGAAACTCCTCTGGGAAAACTGAGACCCACAGGCACAAAATAAGAAAATAGGAGGCCAGGCGCGGTGGCTCACGCCTGTAATCCCGGCACGTTGGGAGGCCGAGGTGGGTGGATCACGAGGTCAAGAGATCAAGACCATCCTGGCCAACATGGTGAAACCCTGTCTCTACTAAAAATATAAAAATTACCTGGG